GACTTGCGTCTAAAAATGAAACGTGTTATAATTAAGTGGATATCTGATCATTGTGTCTTTTTGGAAACGAGCTGGCTGATGGTAGAGCGAAAAAGTTTTCGAAACTTCTTCAAATGAAATCCTCCCCACTATCATTCAATAAAATTATATATCAATCAAACAATAACTAGGCATTTCAAATCACAGGTTCATGTCGGAATACAAGCAAAACTTTGGAGCGTGGAAGATTTCTTGAGAATTCCCAGCAGTTCACGACAGCAGGCTGTAGCCTAATTTCATCTACTAATCAGACATGACTGTCTGACAGAACTCTTACACCACATTCGAATCTTTTCATGCCCTTGCTGTCCTCATTGCGACTCTTAAGACCCATGCATAGACAGCAATTCCGTCAATGTTCAGTTCGTAAGAACGACGAAAAAGCGCTTTATTGGCAGGCCAGAGAACTTTTATGGCAATGGCTTAGGCCAATTCCCTTTTATTTTCATTTTTGTTGTATTTTTAATAGTTTTCTGATAGTTACTTGCCTTGCCATTAGAAATAAAAAAATAAAAAAATAAATGTCTCCAAAAGGGGTAGTGGATACTAATGTGGACATGGGTTAAATATTTGATAAAAAAAAAAAAAGAAACTTAATAGCAGATCACGTTGTTTCACTCCACTTAATTTTCTACTGTTATTACAATTCCGGTTTTTAAAATTTTACATTACTTGCTGGAATATCTCTACGTCCGTTTCAGTTCGTTTGATTTAATGTTTTGGTGATTGGAGATTTTGTGGTATTAAGATGTTTGCGGTTCAATTTAATCTTTCAGCGAGATTATGATTAACTAAGCCGCAGTTGCTCAACGAAGTATTTAAACTCAAAATGAAGATAATAAGAGAAAAGAAACTATTTGTAATGATAAGTATATGAAATAAGATTGACAAGAGTATCATTTATGAGATTTGTCGTATTCTGCATAATACTTTTAAATTTTTTTCTTTATAAATCTTTGATTTTGAAATAAAGTCGATCCCTGATGAAAATGATTTGTTAAAATTGCTGATAAAATACTTACTTTTAACCAAAAAATTTCAAGCTTCATTTCGTAATAGTAATTCAAAACTAAATTCAAATTATATTTATTTTAGTTGTTAATTGCAAACTCTTAAAATAAACGAACTCAGAGGCTATGGGTGTAACAACAGAAGTCAGAATTAAGAGTAAAAATAATATTACTACTTATGACTGTTATAAGTTATAGTAAAAGAATTATACACACTTTCAGACACAAAACTCATATTTTTAATGATTCAGCAATCGCTAAGTCGTATTGTGTTATTTTTTTCAACCATTTCGTTGTGAAACGTGATTTCTAAAGAACTTTACGAAACCGTTTTTTCACTCAAGTGTCATTTTAGCGAAATTATTATTTTTTTTATTTTATCTCAAATTTCATCTGAATTTAAAGCTATTGCAATTGCATGATAGGAAGGTACAGGGGTCAGCTCACTCATTTGTCAATATGTACATTTCTGGCGACGTCTGAGAACTTATTCACTCCCACTATTTTTTAAATCGTTTTTCTTTCTATCGACAATTGTTTTTATTAATATATTTAACTAAGCTTAATACTTTTGACGAAATTCACTTATACTAATTATACGTCTTCTAAGAAAGCAAATTGAATTCATGAAAATCATATTATTTTTCAAATAAACTCTGAAAAAAAAGTCTCATAACTTATATTTAATAAATTAATAAGAGCAATTGATGTAACCGCTTCAACTAATAAATACAAAAATTCATGACGAGTTTACTTCATCAACCATCAATATATGCGGATATTATATGTTTATTTATGGAAATATTTAGAATATGACACAAACTAATACTATGATTTTCAATTTATTTTCAACTAAATTTCTAAAAAAAGTGTAAGGTAAGGATAACTTTCAATTATAACAAATAAATAATTGAATGTTAGAATGTATTTGTTATAAGAATAGTTTGTTCTATGACGTTGACATTCATGTATTATTATTTAAACGTTATACCAAAAACTTTCACCCATAAGAAACAAATTATTCTTTAGTATTGCAATTAAATGTATATTAAAAATGTTTGTAAAACTTTTAAATGAAATTAAAAAGTTTATTTCCAAAGTAATTTTTGATAATTTTTTGAAAATTACTTATTTTATGACTGTAAACAATTATAAAACGAATTGTAATTGTAAATATTACATCAACATTATTGATAATAATAGTATAAAATTATAGTGAAACTTATTTTTATATTTATAATATCACGTAATACTGCACTAATGAAGAGTATTAATTCTTATAATGGGTTTAATATATTTTTTAAATCAAATAATTACAGTTATAATTAACCCTTTTTGTAATTACGCAAACATTGCTTCGATTTATCAAAGCAAACTATTCGGAAAATATTTTTATGACAAGTTTACTGTCATAACAAAACGAAAATTATTATTATAACTTTGTATGATATTATAAAAATGAAAAAAAATTACTAATTTTATAACATTGATTACTATAATTGTTTCTCAAACTATTTAAAACAGTATCAAAAATCATGTATTATAATTTCATAAAACTTTGTTTTAAATAGTTTTTATTATTTATGTAATAATTGTCATAAGTTAAAATTATAACACTTATTCAAAAAAAATTATTTTTTCTTTATGTCCATTATAACTAAAGAGACAAAAAACTATCTAGATAAAATCTGAAAAAGTAGAATTATCAAGCTATTTTTCTGTTTTTTATCACACGTAGAAATCAAATCAGTCATGTGTAAATATTGTTTGTGTTGCCAACATCGTAAGTATTGTAGAACAGTTTATCTCAAATTATCATTTCAACACACAAGATAAGCTTGAGAAAAACTTCTCAAATTGCATTAAAAAAACTCTAGAATAGTGTCATCATTATCAGCACTTTCTTATCTTTTGGCATACGTCATACGTTAGTAAAATTGATTCGGTTAACTTAAGAATATCTGTTTTATCTTCGTAAGAATATCCGACACAAACACCCACGAAAAGCTTAAAACTAGTTTTAATTAAACATGTTTTCCCGGAAATTTCAATAATGAAACACATGAAATATTTTTGGAATAGTTTAAAAAAACTGCTGTTCCATAACTTTTACAGTAATAATTGCCATAAAATCTCTGAATCACTCTAATAAAATAAATATTACAGTTAAAAATACGGTACAATGCTTTACGGTAAAAAGGGAATTTGCTGTAAAATAGATTTTACGGAAAATGTACCCATAGTACATTATCCAAGTACTTTTACCGGAATTTTTTACAGTGTTGTCATTGCAGAAAATTATGACTAAGCGAAATGTATTTCTAAAGGACATAGGACTGAAATGTAATTTTATTATTATATTTTATTTATTATTATCTATATTAAAAATAAAATAATTTTTAAAATTTTCTTATTACGTTATTTTTAATTATTTTTCCATTATTATTTTTTATTCAAAATGCTTAGAATGCTTCCTGAAATGATTTTTCGATAATCGTAGTCATTGCATACACCTACGTTTCTCCGGCACCAGGGCACTTATGTTTCTCAGGAGCATTTGAACGGTTATATAAATTTCATTTATTGTATTTATTTATTTACTGCCTAAAATGGCTTTTTAAAGCAGTTGTTGATAAAACTTTTTCAAGAGTTTCTTTTGTTTTGCAGTTTGCCGCTAGTTTGTTTATTAAATAGCAAATATTTCGTTTTAACTAATTTTTTTAAAACTTTTCTCGTACGGTTTGTCGGTATTTTCGCATCCTTCTTGTATCGAAAACAAGTTTTTTACATGGAGAATTGACAAACTGTATCATTATTTATATCAACAAGTTAGAAGCACGGTCCATTAACTCATATGGTTAGAGCCCCCAGCTAAAAACATAAGGGTCAAGGGTTCGTTCTCCCCAAGGCTATTGTTGCATATTTATTCATAGTCCACATTTTAAACAATTTTCGTTACTATAGTTTATCTATGCGATATTTTACTTATAAATTTAATAATTAGTAGCAATAATTATGTGGCTAAGCAGATTTATCTAAGTATTTCTCTCTAGTTATGCTTAATACAATCACATCAGACCTTAAATTGAAGTTTACTGTCAGTATCAAATTAACAAATGCAGTTATAAATTCGTGCAAGATACTTTTAAATGCGCATTATCCAATAAGGTAATATTTATTATTAAGAAATAGAGATCATTTCCTTTTAATTCAAAGTTCAAAAAATTTTACTTTATGGCTATGGGATTATTGATTAGACAGTTAAAATAGAGAACTCCTGGAACATAGGACTAATTTTTGCCTATTTTTAAATTTTTCATAATTTTCTCTTTTAACTAAAATGTCCTTCTAATATATTTGTCACAATGAAAAGCAAAGAAATATGTTTTTTATGTCTTCTAAACAAGCAATTATTTTCATGGATTATTTTTTTAATTAGCATTCCTCCATATCTACTTTTGCGTACTGTTTAGTTCCTGTGTTCATACTTTTAAAGCTTAAAATAAAATAGGCAACACTATTCTACTTTTGAACAAAATAATTTATTTCAAAATATTTAATTGTACTTTTTATCTAACCAATTAAATACGCTAACATACTATCCCATCAAATTTAAAATTACAGATTCGAAATTTGCCAGATTTTGCAACTTGTTTTGGAAATCCAAAATCAAAATTACAAAATTCCCCATGTATCCTAACATACGCACGATTGAAATAAACAGAGTTATTTACGCGTTTTTTTCGTAACAGTCCAACCAAAGAGCGTTCTAAAATTTGTGGTATTTTGAATTTGAATTATTCTTTTTCTGAATGAGATGGTAATGACCGATATCTAAGTTCTGGTCCACATTAAACAAATCATTTACACCAAAAAAGCCAAAAATGCATGTGCGGCTTTCTAATGAGCATTCAGGAAACAACTCAAGGAAGTAGGTTAGCTTTCCCTTTCGTACCCAGAGAATAAACGACAGAGGTTATTTCAATCAGGTCGCAACTTCAACACTCATATAAAGCTTTCCAACACTTTATACTTTTCGTTTTTTCATCAAAATGAGGAAACAGACCGGTGCAATGCGAACTTTAAGAACTTTCTCTTCTATCGTCTTTATCTTAGGATTTCTTTCTTTCGCTGATGGTACGTACAATATGGGACTTTTTTTTTTGGAGATTAACTGGACTTTTTTTAGCAATTGCTTTAAAAAAAACAGAAGATCAAATGGATTTACTAATTAAGAAGTGGATGTTATAATTATTGATGCTTTGATCTTAATGAGTTTTTTATGGAAGGAGTATGGATATGCTAAATTTTTTTTAATTATAATTAATTAAAAAGTAATTTTTATTTCATAAAATAATAATGAGCACTCTTTTGAAGCACTTTAAAATATTCGAATAATTTATGAAATTTTATTGTTGATGGAATTTGATAATTTTTACTAAAGCTAGCTTATATGTCACTAGCTTATAAGCATTAAAAATTTTTAAAAACGCTTATGTAAAAGCATATAACTGAATAAATAAAAGAATATGATAAATGAAAACATTTTAATAAAAATATCAGTAAACGATAACTGTCATGAAACATACTTTTTATAATTTTCAAAAAATTTGTAAATAGTTTGTCAGGTATTAATGAAAAACTAAGAGTATGCAATTGACATTGAAATTATGTTTTAACACAGAAAAATTATAAATCATAAAATGTTACATGATTAACATAAAAAATAATTGAAATGAAATGAAGATATTAAAAATGTTAGAATATACATTAAACTGATTCCTTTAACATAGCTGTAATTAATGAATATTTGAATAATTAATTATGTATGAATAAATAAATATGTAATTACTTATGAGTAATTTATTCTGATTTTTTCTTAAAAAAATTATGTTTAATAAATGGTTAAAAAATAGGATGCAATTTTTATGCTATTGAAACTTCCACAATTATGTAGTTAAAATAACCTTAAGTTATTGTATCTATTCAATTAAGGTATGAAAGAAAATGACTCAAACTTCAAAATTTATAGATTATGATTCCAAAATTAACAATCTGCAATGTTTAAATGTAACACAACCTTTCACTTTTTATACAATTCTGAATTAAACATAAAATGATAATTTTTCTTACTTCAAATGTTTTTATTAACAGTGCTTTTCATTAACGGTGAAAACTGTTATTGTAATTAAAAAAATATTTTTTAAAATACTATTTGTTAAAATACTGATTTTTATGTACTTATTAAGCGAATAAATTAACTTTTAACTTAGAACACTGGTTGAGACAACTATTAAAAATATATCAAGTTTTCAGAATCTATGCTTGTAAAGGTAAACTACGTTATAAATGTTGTAATTATTGTTCTTTACAATTTTTTGCAATAAGCAAAATCGGGATAATAGTTTAATACAATTGTGTATAACGTTTGAATATAAAGAAGTATTAAAATGTCTTCTTATAATATAAAAAATAATTAATGAAAATAATAATTATAAATTATAATAAATTTGATTTAGGATACTTCAAAGCTCCTGGAATGAAAAAATTGAACACTCCTTTCGATCATTTACTGCGCAAAGGACCGGCCCATTTAGACACTGAAAAAGATTGGGAAGAACAACCTCCTTTTAGAAAAGATTTTTATTCTTGGAAAACACCAGAAACGTATTCTTTCTACCACAGACCAGAACATCAGAATCAATATAACGAACAACCAGCTGGAAAATCTTACTTTACCAACGATATGTCTTTCAACACGCACCGGATACCTGGAGTTTCAAACTCAGTCTTTAAAACCAATGGTCTTTCGAATCTAATGAGCTATGGTGTTGGATTACCTACATTTTTGCACCGAGAACCAATTTTTCCGAGTTCTGTAACAAGCAGTAATTATCAAGAAAACCAACCACAATCATTTGAACTTGATGAAAGATTACCCGAATCAAATGAATCTTTGGGGAATGCAGACAAAGCAGAAGAAAGAGTTGTTGGAGGAAGAGATGTTCATGATGGCGAAATACCTTGGCAGGTAAAGTATAGTATTTTAAGTCTTTTCAAATCAGATGCAATTTAAGACAGACAAAAATTTTAAGGTAGGTTCTTGAAATTTTTTGAACTTTTAAGACTCGGATTAATTTTCTGGAATTCTAAATAGGTAAGTTAAAAGAAACCGGGTGCTGTAAATGATCAAATATCTTACCCGTGTATTTCATTTCAGGTATCTTTACAAAGAAAATCAATGAAAAGTGGACGCATTTTTCATATTTGTGGAGGTTCTATCTTGAATAGAGAATGGATTGTGACTGCAGCCCATTGCGTTGCTCTGTAAGTAATATTTTGTTTATTCAGATAGTAATAAATATATTGTCATAGCTAAAAACCAAATAAGCATTGATAATATGTTTCATAGGTACAGTTATATATTAAAAATTATTGTTAGTAACTATTGCTAGCTGCAAGAGTTTAGTTCAGGCATATCAAAATACCAAACAGAACATGATTTGAAGATATTAATTTATTTATCTTACGGCAACTATTAAAAAAATAAGAATTCTCAGCCTTAAGGATTTAATGTTTAGGACAGTTCAGATGTAATATTAGGCTCCTATATATAAAGATACACTTGTTGACCTTTTTAAAGACTTAATTAAAGAAGGTTTCCTTTTGGCTTAGAAATAAATAGTGATAAGACCAAATACATGATAATGGATTGTAGGGGAACGGATATAGACACTGAATTATAAATCAATGAAATGACAAAATTTGAGAGAGTTAGGTAATTTAAGTACTTGGGTTCAGTTGTCACTGAAAGCAATGATATAATGCCAGAGATTAATCTCTGGCATAATATCATAGCAAAGACTAAATGCTGGAAATCGCAGTTATTTTGCACTTAAGAGATTGCTAACATCAAAAGTAATAACGAGAAAAACAAAGCTTCAGGTTTATAAAACTATAATCAGACCAACCGCTATCTATGGATCTGAGGCGTGGACTCCAACCCAGAAACAAGAAAAAATGCTGATTACCTGGGAAAGAAAAATTCTTCAAACTATTTTTGGACCTGTCAAAGAGGGTGATCGGTGGAGAAGGTGATACAATTTTTAAATTGCAAGACTATTTTTAAGAAAAAGATATAATAAATTATGTAAAAGCAAAGAGAATTCAATGGCTAGGACACCTTGAGAAAATGGAGGAAAACAGAGGCACTAAGAAGATATTCAAGGGGTAATGCTAGTCAAAGGAAAAGAGGAAGGCCGGTCAAAAGATGGTTTGACGAGGTGGAAAAAGATCTTAAGACTCTAAAAGTCCGAAACTGGAAGCAAAGAGCTAGAGACAGACGACTTTGGAGGAAAATTGTTAATGAGGCCATGGTCCAACATGGACTGTAATGCCAGGGAGTTAGTTTGTTAGTTATATAAAGATAGGTGTCGGCCAAAATAGGCATGGTCTGCATGTTAATTGCTAAATAAATAAAGTATAATAAAGCAGTTATTCCTGACAATAATTATTAGGAAACATAAAATTAAGGAAATTTTTAGTAATAAAAGTACCAGTACTAACTCGCATACTCAACCATTCCATAATAGGGAGAAGGCTCTAACGGCGTATGATGACAATTCTGGTTTTGGCTTGCCTTGTAATTTTCGATCCGTATGATGAGTCCTAATTCTCTTTAAAATGAACATTATTGATCGCAAATTAGAATTTAAGAAAAAAAAGTTATTAAAATCTAACGAATCACCACACAAGAAGATGGAACTAAAAACATCAAAACAACAGTAATTGACAGTAAAAAACTTTTTATAATCGTCGTTGAACAGCTGAACTAATTTTTGAGTTAACGACGATTAATGTTCAACTCCCAGGCCTTGTAATTTTGAACCCAATACAGAAGACAAGAGAGCTTCTGGATCAAGTATTGAGATAAATTTGTCTTTGTGGAGGACTTTTTGATGGAACTAACACGCAATTGCGTTACATGGAGAGTAAAATCACGAAAACCTCTCACGGCTAGCCTGATGGCAAGGGGACTCTAACTCATGATCCGTCGTCTACCACTGAGGATATTATACGTTAGCACTGTGGTCATTGTAAGTCAGGTGTGGAACTCGTATCCACCAGCCATCGTTGGGGTTCTAACCCGGGTCACCTTTTTACGAGGCAAGCGCTCTATCCCCTCAGCATTCCTGTATGAAACTTGAAGGCGTTACTAATAGCTATTTTTAATTGTTCTCCGTCTTCTCTCTCTGGCAATCAAACAGTGATGGATATTTTCGATTCCGATTTCTGTTCTAGTCTTACGACTCACTAGGTTTCAAAAGCGTTTTCAAATTTTAGTAAATTAAAAATATTAATAAAATATTAATAAAATATTAATTTGAATATGACTTTAAATGTTAATTTGTTATCTCTATTGAGCATACTTTTGACTTTTCCGATATTATTTATAAATCAATCATTTCACAAGGAATTTTAATTATTTCAAACAAAAGTAGCATTACAATTTCTCAAATACAAAAAATAATTTTAGCTACTTGGAAAATGATTAAAAACTTGTATCTAAACTGTTAGTAGTTATTTTCTTTTGGTGCTGTTAATCGCTTTTTTGTTATGAAAATTGAGAAACAATACATATGCTTACTATACGATAAATACCGTTGTTACTCCGTAAATCAACTAGAATTTAAAAAGAATACAAAATTTTAGAAGTCCCATATCTTTCTGACAATAATTATCACTCTGACAACAATTTAATTTTAAATTAAGTATAATAACAGTGATTGATTAAAACTTAAATAAAAAATACTTTTTCTGTTCAAAAAATATTTAATTTCTCAGGTTCTGGCCTTTGCTTTAGTTATGAATTAACTTGCATTAAAATTTCTTATTTGTTATGTATGAAAAAATAAGAACTTATTTAATTTATACTTGTGTTAATATGGTTTTGTCCTAAATACGTGAGAAAAAAAGCAACTTTTTGTGTAATGATTTATTTTTTTTCTAGCATTATTTCTTTATAGTCACATTTGCTATAACTTTTATATGACAATAAAACGAAGGATGAAAAAATGACAATTCATTGTTTTTCGTAAAAATATTTATCTATCTCAAACAGATATAGATCTAGTTGGGACAAAGCAGATAATAAAAAGGATAGCTTGGAAATATTTAGAATAAATTTGTGAGAAATATCATTAAGCGATTGCATTTCACTTCATTGTTACTTTCTTCACATAACATCTATATAAAAAAAAGTTTTTTTTTCATGTATAATGTGAAATAAAAAAAGTTTTAAGTCATCATGAACAGTGGTCATTGTACGTGTGTCATGATTCAAGAAAAATTCTAATTCATTAAGCTGCAATATTGAATGTGTAGGGGCTTAAACTAAGATAAATTGTATGGTCAAAACTATTAAGCTGTAATAAAAGTTACCATATTTTTTGCTGTATGAGAACACTAAAACACTCGAGTAAGGATTTTGATAAAATTAATAATAAATTATGGTTTTAAAACATGCGATAAAATTTGGTAAATGTGATAAAATTTGACAATTTTATGATGTTATCTTGAAACATTTCATTGAAATCATTTATTTGGTAAATTTTATAATTCAGTTTTATACTTTTTACTGAATATGTAGAAAGAAAAGTAGTATCGAGTTTGTAATGACACTTGATGAAAGTACAGATATAGCAGAATCGTCCATACTTACTGCTAGAAATTCTTCAGGAAAAATGGTTAAATAACAATTTATTTAATTGTTATTTTACCATATTCAAACAAAACAGTCGAATAGCCATTTAATAAGATGATATTAAAATTGTTAACTGTGCAAGAAACAGTTTATTAACTGTTTTTACCTAAACTACCAGAATTTTATCGCGCAAACTAGGACCACCTAATGAAGCTAAATAGTTCCTTGTAGATGGGTACATACTGAAAGAGTGAGGACTAATCTGTCGATTTCATGAAAAACAGAACGGAGGTTCGAGTTCACTGTATTTCCTCCATTTCCTTTAAAATACGAAGACTGTAGTTGCTTATTTTGGGATCATGCTTGTAAACCTTTGAATCATCTTAAATCTTTAAATGAATTGTGTACAGTACAAATTGATATAAAATAACAGTATACAGTATAATCAATGAATTATGCAGGTCCAAAAACATTCATGCAAGTTTTGGTCGGAGAGTTAAATTTCTTGGTCAATTTGGATTTAAGGGGATCATAGCAGTTTACAACGATAAAAATTGTGTAATTGTAAAAAGTTTTTTTTTCAAATGAAACTATGAATATTCGAGAATGATCCTTTCAAGGTCGATGGCCGAAATCAAATTCTGATTACACTAATCAACAAGATTCCAGTAAAAGATCTTTTAGTGATTTTTCTCGCTATTGAATTTAGTTATATGCGAATTTCATGAAAATAGATTTAACTAAAACTTAGATCATACAAAGCTTTAATGAACTACATAAATGATCTCAAGTTATATGATCAAGTTAATGATCTCAACTACTATGAAATAAAGGTTTGGAGGGAAAAATGGAGTCATAACAATAAACAATGGCTTGTGATCAATAATGAAATTTGCTGTTCATCTTGACGCAAAAACTTATAAATCGTTCCCATATTGCAATCAAATTTATTTCATTGATCGATTTATTTTTGAAAGGAACTTAAAAAGCCGTTTGTTATGGTACATTTTGCTCGCATTTTAAATACATAATTTTGTTTTCGAAATGGGCAACTTTCTTCTTGTTTGAAATGTAAAATTGCAACTGACATATTGAAAAAAAATTTAATTTTAATTCAGTTACTTACGTGCAATAACTCGAATCAAAATTTAATTTTTACACGAAGAAAACAATGTCTGTAAAATTATCATACTTTATGGTTATGACATTTCTGGTAAAAAAACAGCAACATATTTCAGGTTAATGAAACAAAAATATACGGCATTTAAACCACTCATTTGGTAATTTTTTCGTTCATATGATCACGGCTTACAGGAAATTCTGGTTTTCAAAACTGCCTAAATCAACCTTAAAATTCACATATTACCGTAAATTTAATAAAAAATTCAAAACTGAAAAATCAATTTAACCGAATAATTTTTTTTTGTCACACTCTTAAAATTACCAGATTTTATCACATTCACTAAATTTTACCGCATTTTATAAAACTATATTTTAAACAAACAAACATTATTTACAATTTTTTAAATTCTTAAAAAATGAAGTGTGCTTCGTTTCTAACGTGAGCAACTTTTAAGGTCATATTAAACTTTGCTAAAAAAAAGTACATGAGGAACCGTTTCAT